TCTCTGCATGTCCATCTGTCTGTCTTTCTGTCTGTCTGTCTCTGCATATCTGTCTGCCTGTCTGTCTCTGTCTGTCTCTCTGTCTGTCTGTCTATCTGTGTGTCTCTGCATGTCTGTCTATCTGTGTGTCTCTGCATGTCTGTCTGTCTGTCTCTCTGTCTGTGTGTCTCTGCATGTCTGTCTGTCTCTCTGTCTGTCTGTCTGTGTGTCTCTCTGTCTGTCTCTGCATGTCTGTCTGTCTGTCTGTCTCTCTACTTCTCTGTCTGTCTCTCTGTCTGTCTGTCTGCTGTTTGACTGTGACTCATGGAAAACGTTCTTCTCACTGCTGTTTGTCTCTTTGCTTTGTCTCTCCCTGCGATGTTTGTCCTCCTGCAGGACAGTGTCCCAATGGCCTCTCCTGCTTTCCTTCTCTCTCTTTTTGTAAGTATTCAGGTTCTGCCTCAGCCTCCATCAGAACCGGGCCCGTGTCAGCGCGAACATCCCTGTCACTCATGATGCCGCTCACCGTCTGCACCTCTGATCTGTTGTGGTGTCCATCTTTCAGTTGATGTCTCCACAGCGTTGTGCTCTGCTTTCTTTCTGGTCCCGTGTCGTCCTTTTGCTTCTCTTCAACTTGTAAAGAACCTCGCTGTCAAACTTCAGAGGTTCTTTATCGTTTCTTGGCTTTTCTTCTGAATGTCTGCTTTATTGTTCACGTCTCTGCATGTCCACATTTATTTCCTTCTTTGATTTTGTTTTTGCTCATCGTTATTTTTTGTTTAGCCTTTCATTCAAGGAGGAAGCCCTCCGAGGTGGACTGTGGCCTGTCCTGTGGACTGTGTCACATAAGTCCTCTGCATTCTGTCCAACTGACCTTTGACCTTTATGATGAGTGTGTTTCCCTGTTTGTCCTCGACTGTGTCTCCTCTGCAGGACGGAGGAACCCGGGGCCGCCGGAGTGCGATGGAGGCCGACCTCAAAATGAAGAAGTAGACTGATGTCTTAGAGGAGACGATGCTCATGAAGGTGCAGACGGTGCTCGCTCTGGATGTGTTCTGTCCGTCAGATCACACCTGGACCAAGAGGTTCTCCAGGGTACATCATCATCATCATTCTGCTGAGAATAAACAAGAACTTTATATATTTTTTAAAATCACCAGCAAACTGTTCCAGTCCGGATGAGTTCTGCTGGCTGGATTTGTTCACGTCGAACCTTTTATACTTTAGTACTCGTCTGTCTGTTGAGCGGCTCCTGCACCACGTTGTGCCCGATCAGCATCGGCTGAAAACAAACTCCATGTTCTGAGTTCAGAAGCTGTCGGGTTCCTCCTGCATGTTGGGACGACACCACACAGAACCAGGAACTGTTCAGGCGCAGAGAGATCTCTGACGGAGGACGTTCTGAAGGTGTTCTTTTCTTTAGTTGGGGCTCAGGTCGCTTCAGCCTGTGAGCTCATTCTGGTGCATGCTTTAGGTTATTAAATAATAATCTGAACATTTCTGCTTTTTTTCTAAAGCATGATTGAAAAGAGGCTGGGATTATAGAGTTCAACTTCAGATTTAATTCATATTTTAGACAACACAAGAAAAAAACAACAAGCCAGCCTTTGAATGTGTAGCTTAAATATTCTGTGAAAGTTCTGACCTGTTAATATCTTACCTGTTGTAGATGGCTCTTTGCATGGCTTCAGTTTGAAGAATAGTTTAATTCTGGCTAAAAGAGGAGCTGATGGCTAGTCCGATCAGAGTCGAGAACAAATGAACACTTCGCTCTCTTCATCCTTACATTGCTCTATAAGGTTTGGGCCGACTCTAGGATTATTTAGAATTCTCTAGTTATTTGCAAACACAAATAGCAGCAGCAGCCAGCTGTAGCACATCCACCACAGCTTGGGCTCAATTCTAACAGGATTATCAATGATTCTGCCAAATAACTGAGTTTCATTGTAAAAAATTAGAAATACCTTTTAGTTGTTTTAAGTGCACTTTGGGCGTGACCTGTGTTCCCTCTAAGCTGTGCGCCTGCGCAATCGCGCACTGCTCACACATTCTCTGCGCACAAGACAATCTGTGCTGCGCAGTTGTGGACTGGTCACAAGGTTATCTCCCGCTTTATAATAACCTCAGCCCGAGCGCAGCAGTCTGTACAGTCTGTGTGCAGCAGCTGAAAGATGCGTGCAGAGCTGAGGAGGAACACCCCCCCCCCCCCCGGGTCAAAACAGACCTGTCGCGTGATTTTTTTTATTCCAGCCAATCAGCTTCTTCTGGAGTTTCAGCGCTGACTGCAAACTAAGCTTGAAGAAGCTACTTGTAGTGTTTTTCCAAGCTTTATTCTGCATGTTTCATCGCGTATCGAGGAATAATATTTGGCGTTGTGGATTTATCACAGAAGTTTACGGTCGTATGGCGTCAAACAAGGCGGTAAGTAAGCTAATCCCACAACTTGTAGCCGTTTTTATCATAAGTGTTGGCAAACAGTGCTTGATGTATTATATCTGGATGGTCAAAGGAAAAGCAGTATTTCCCCTATATGAGCTGCGCAGCGTGCCGTTCATACCGACAGTCTTAGGGGTGGGGGTGGGACAGAGACAGCCACGCGCTGTTTGCACCGACAGTTTCACAGCTTTAGAGCAGGGCTGGGAGAGAGACACGCATCTCAGCCGCGCCACTTGTACCGACAGTTTTAGGGGCGGGGGTGAGGGAAGAGGCTGCTTGGTCTGGAGACAGAGACATGGACAAAAAGACAGGAGACAGAACTGGAAGTAGCAGAAATGAAGATGTTGAGGTTCTTCTGAGGAGAGACAAGGATGGAGAAGATCAGGAATGAGATCATCAGAGGTACAGCACAGGTTGAACAACTGGGAGATAAAGTTAGAGAGGACACACTGAGATGGTTTGGACATGTCCAGAGGAGGGACTGTGGTTTGGACATGTCCAGAGGAGGGACAGTGGTTTGGACATGCATTTTAAGCTACTAATAAACATGATGGATGATGATCATGTTGCTTTATGCTAGGCCATTAGTAAGGAGGAGTGATTATTATTATTGTTTAATATTGGCTAGTGATTTTCCCCTAAAACTTAACTTAGGTTACTCTGTGTTTCTTAGACTGTGACTCGGATGTGTGAAAGAAGTGATGTGTGCTCTGTTCACACAAGGAGAGCTGTTGGTCAGGCTGCTTGTTGTGACAATAACTGTAATAGTTAATGAATCAAGTGTTATTGTGCAGGTAAAAATAGATGTTTTACAACCATTAAAATACACCAGAATACAGGAAATGGCATCTATTTTATTCAAAATTTTCTGGGGGAGAGGACCCCCCCATCCACACACACACACACATTACAAATATGATTTTGACACCGATGGCCACAGTGTTGCTAACCATGTTTCAGAGCAGGACCCTCACATATAACATACTACACACCTCATGAACAACAAGATTATCGTGTTTTTCATTTGAAGTGGTTCAAATCACTTGTATTAAAGTGAACTAATGGACATTGCTGCTGTAATTTGATTCTTTTAATAAACCATGTAACTTGCTATGATCCCAGGTTTTGAACAGGTGTGATACTGGTGTGTGACCACAGTGGTCCTCCAGCGCTCAGGGATCTTGTGTTTTTGCCCACATGAAAAATTAGAGGGAACATTGGACGTGACCTTCTTGAACTGGACTGACGAGCCAACCTCTAATCTGAAGTAGCCATGTGGATCACTGCCGTCTTTAAACAACATCCACCGATTTTCAGAGCAATTTATGCAACTGTTATTTTATAAACCTTTACGTCATTGTCAGGTTCACATAACATGATCATTCTGACATTGCTGCTGCGAGTGTCCGCTTGCTAATCTGCGCAGAATCTTCTGTAAATAATAATAATAATAATAATAATGTCATCACAATGTCAGCACTGTATGTTTCCATACAATGGCGAAATTAGTCTCTGCATTTAACCCATCCACCACCAGGTGGTGCAGTGGGCAGCTATTGAAAGCGCCCGGGGGACATTTTGGGGTAATGCAAAAGTTTTAAACGTAACGTAAGAACTGTTCTGAAACTAAGACTTTTTTTAAAGTAAGCAGTGATCCACTTTGTCCAGTATGTAAACTGGGTGAAAAGTCAAATTCTCCAATCAGGTCATTCAGAGAGTTATCTACAACAGGTAAGATGTTTATTATTTGTAACCTTTCCACAGAATCCCTCTTCAAAAGATCTGAGCTATCACTTTGAAGTGTGGAACTGCTTTATCCCAGAAGTTGGAGTTTTTCTCAGCGCTTAACAAATCTCTTCTGTCGTGTGTGTTCTGTAAATGTGTGTGTGTGTGTTCTGTAAATGTGTGTGTGTTCTGTAAATGTGTGTGTGTTCTGTAAATGTGTGTGTGTTCTGTAAATGTGTGTGTTAGCTGGGAGTACCTAGTTTTGTACCTGAGGAGGATCCTGTGCTTAGGGTAGCTGGTGTATGTCTTTGGTGTACATTTAATAAAACATTTGATCTAAAAGATCTGTTTACTCAAGTTGTAACCTTTCCTTTTTCTGACTGGATCACCAGCTCTGAACCCACTGGACTTGTTGAAATTGAACACGGCGCATCATTATATCCTGTGTTTGTCCTGTGAACCCTTAAAAAGCCTCTTTTTTCTGCATACCTCTTAATTGGAAGGATCATCTGGTCTCAACAAAATTGATCAACTTCTCCCGACAGGAGACAGGGTAAGGAGGACCCTCTTACCTTGATGGAAACAAATTGGATTCATGACAACTGGTTATTTTGCTGTTTGGTTGGTGAAACCTGGATTGTCTATAAATTCGTGTGGAGGTGTTGAAGCTCGACAGTGCTCAGACTGAATGTGGGAAGCTGCTGCAGGGAGCTGGAGCAGCTGTTATCAGGACTGTGATCTTCCTGGCAGCACTCATGAATGATGGAATAATCTGGAGAAGCTGTGAGCTAGACTTTTGGAGTAAAGGATCAATTTGTCTGTTTTGTAGTTTCCATCAGAGAATATGTACAGCAAGACTTTAAAGGCAGAAACAACAATTCACGAGTTCTGCCTGACCCAAACTGTGGCCTTGATGCCGGACTTCTCTCAACTCCTCCTGGAATGTTTTAAAACAACAAAGATGCTTTGACTGTTTCCTCACCCCTCCCTTCCCCAAGGCCGTGGACATGTAACAGAACCTCAACTGAGCTGAAGATGAACGTCGCCTCTTATCTGGACAATGGCTGAGGGGGGGCTCTGGACTATGCTACAACTTTTCCTTAAATTTAGTTTTCACCGCCTATATGTTCATGTATAATGTCTGTTCTGTTTATGTTCATGTATAATGTCTGTTCTGTTTATGTTCATGTATAATGTCTGTTTATGTTGCTTTGCTGTGGTAGGTTTTTTAGATGCCTCAAATTGTGCCGTCTAGGACACGGAGTGAGAGATCTTTTTATACCATCTCTCATGGTTTCTTTTTCTCATCTAAGCAAAATATTATTCTGAATAAGAATAAGAGGGCCGCATTAATTTATAGCCGCAGTTTCGTGCACTCCATCTTTCGGACGACTGTACATACATATTCTCGTTAGAATGTCAAAGTTTATTCTGATTCTTGTCCTTTAATTTTTCCCCATAGAGATTTCTTTGATTAACCCACTTCTTACTGGCTCAGTCGATCATTTTACTTTTAGCTAGAGAAGTAAAGTTCTACCAGTTTCAGGAGCTCAATTGTCCTTTTGTGTTTAAGGCAGTCTGTTCATGATTTTTAGCATTTATTCTAAAATCAGACCAAGAACTACTTTTCATGACAGTTTGCAGTCTTCTGTATGCACCAGTTAGGAGAAGACCAGTAAAGGTTCTGGCAGACTCCTGGTTTACTGAGCTAAGCAGCGCACGCACACACACGACAGTGTAAATAATTTAATAAATAAAAAGCAGTCCACGTCAGACATGAGACCAGCTCAGTCCAGGGTTGACATCAAACCAGTAGCATCATTTTGGTTCTGTGCAAAAATACTGAACGGTTCAAGTTCTAAAAAGTTGGAGAACCTGCTCAAAATTACAAATCATGAAAAAAAAAAAAAATCAAATGTAAAGACGGTCCCAGTTTGAAACAGGATGTAATGGTCCGGTCCCAGTTTGAAACAGGATGTAATGGTCCGGTCCCAGTTTGAACAGGATGTAATGGTC